GGGCTGCAGGGTGGGGCCAGGAATGAGGGGCTCTGGGCTGGGGGTGCAGGCTCTGGAGTGGGGCCAGGGATGAGGGGCTTGGGTTGCAGGAGGGGGCTCAGGCTGGGGTGCAGGAGGGGGTCAAGGCTCTGGATGCAGGCTCTGGGGTGGGGCCAGGGATGAGGAGTTTGGGGTAGAGGAAGGGGCTCAGGCCTGGGGTTACCTTGGCCAGCGCCCAGTCAGCAGTGCAGCAGGAGTGCTAAGGCAGACTTCCTGCCTTTCCTGGCACCACGGCCGTGCTGCGCCCCGGAAGCAGCTAGCAGCATGTCTGGCTCCTAGGTGGAGGTGCACGCAAGCGGCTCCATACAGCTCTCACCCGCTGGATCTGCTGCTGGCCGCTTCTGGGGCGCAGCGCGGTGTCAGAACAGGTAGGGACTCGCCTGCCTTAGCCGGGCAGCAGCGCCAACGGGACTTTTAACGGCCCAGTCGGCAGTGCTGACCAGAGCTGCCACGACTCAGTACTGGGTTGCGACCCACAACTTGAAAACCACTGGGCTAGTGGACTGAACTGGACCTCAGGAAACACAGGCTCCCAGATCTACTGGGTGACTTTGGACAAGTCACTTTCACACCTGTCTCAGCTCTCCTACCTGTAAAATAGGAATAATGATCTTTACCTCCTTTGCAAAGTACTTGGAGATCTCCAGATGAAGAGTGCTACCCAAGAGCTAGATTTTATTATTATGGCAGAAATGGATCTCAAGGAGTGATTTTGAATGAGGAGAGTATCACTGTCACCAAACTGGAGAGCACTTTACACTTAAGACCCATAGTTTCTGCAGGTCATCGCTCCACATTAAAGGTGAAGGCAGCTGCGGTCTGTTCTCTAGCAACTTACCATCTCTCAGGTAAGCGGTCGCCTCTTCCATTGTCACGTATAGTTCTTAGACCATGGCACGAGTGCTTGGTGTGGAATGAAGGATCTTCGTGGTAGGTACTTGCCCCATGGAATTACGCCACAAAGGCACTAGGGGTTTTGCCACCGCAAGCTTATTTGTGCTGAAAAGAAGAGATCACTCTTTTACACTCTAGGGTTATCTACTGAAAGAATTAGGTAATACAATGATTCCAGCCCATGAAAATCCCTGCACCTGGGGCTTTTCTGTGGCTGGGACCAAGGATGCCTCTCCCAGGGCATTGGGTACGGGTGCGGACTGTAAGGCACTAGCAGGAGCACAGAGACCCTGTCTCCAGTTGATTTCTGAAGGTGCACGTGGTATAAAACAATGTTAATCTATTTTCAGGAGGTGTCCCATTGACTCTTCCTGCTGCTCAGACAAGGAAGGGTTAGGGGGAGGCATATGCAGAGAAGCCACTTTCACAAACACCTGGTGCAGGAAAATGCCTCAGAGCAGCCTTCACTGGACTGATCTTGTTAAAGCAAGTGGGCGTTGGACCCTGGCGAAGATGAGGACACAGGACTCCTGGGTTCTGATCTCTGGGGGGGGAAGCAGGACTCCTGGGGGGAGAGGCTCTAGTGTTGGTGGGCGGGGCTGGGACTCCTGGGTTCTGGCTGGGGGGGGGGAAGCAGGACTCCTGGGGGGAGGGGCTCTAGTGTTGGTGGGGGAGGGACAGGACTCCTGGGTTCTGGCTGGGGCGGTGGGGGGCAGGACTCCTAGGGGGAGGGGCTCTAGTGGCCGGCGGGGACTGAACCCGGGCCGGACCCCGCTCTGGGGACGGGGACACCGGCGCTGACCCTCCTACAGCGGCTTCAGGACTCACCCGCGAGCACCATGGAAACCAGCTACGGGTCCCGCGCTCAAACCTCCCGCGCACCGACTCCAGCGGAAATACGTCACGAAATGCCCTGTATTGTCTTTCCCAGCATACCTCGCGGCACGCTTGTCCGAGAATGAGGCGGAGACGCCCAGCCCAGGGTTTATTTCCGGCATGCCCGCGGTCTCGTTCCCCTGGTTACCGTACGACAAGATGGCGGCGCCCGCGTTGCTGTCTCAACATAGCGTACGTGTTGAGTGAGTCCGTACAGGAAGATGGCGCTGAGCAAACCCTTTTCCCGGCATGCTCCGCGTAACCGTCATCCCGATTTCGTACGATAAGATGGCGGCGCCTGACTTATTTTCCCAGCATGCCGTGCGTGATGATTCCGTACTGCAAGGTGGCCGTGACTGTGACCCTTTCCCGGCATGCTCCGCGCCTCTCCGTCCCGGCCGTGTCCGTACACTAAGATGGCATCGCCCGGCAGTAGCTCAGCGCGCGCGCTGGTGCAGTACGTGGTGCTGCGGGGCGACCTGCAGCGGGAGCCGCTCTCGTGGCCGCTGGGGGCCCTGGTGGCGCAGGCCTGCCACGCGGCCCTGGCGGTGGTGCATGCGTACTACGGGCAGGCGGACACCGGGGCCTACCTGGCTGAGGGGGGCAGCATGAGGACCGTGGTGCTGGAGGTGAGCGGGGCCGGCGGTGGGGTCCGTGGGACACGATATGGCCCGCGGGCGTTGGGGCCGGGCGGAAGCGGCTGGCAGGGGGAGCGGGGTCGGGGCCTGGGCAGAGCAGGGTGCCAGCAGTGCCCCTAGTGGGGAGAAGGAGAAGTGGGGGTAAGGGGCCCATGGTGGGGAGTGGGGCTGAGGCCCAGGCCTATGGGGAGAGGGGTCCCAAGAGGCATGAGGACCACACCTGTGGGAGATGGCGGAGGGCAGGTTGGTGCAGAGCTGGGCGCTCTGGGTATAATGCAGGGGGAGGGAACAGCCCCTGGGGTGCCTGGCTTCATCTAGCGCCAAGCAGTAGGTCCATGCTGCATTTCTCATTCCTCGACGTGAGGGCAAAGCCTGGGACGGGGCTAGGGCTGCTCCCCGGGTGTGTGTTCCGGGCACTGAAGCCATGGCCTGTCAGAAGGAAGAGGTGCCAGCCTTGACTGTCTGTGAAGTGAACCAGGAAAATGTCCTGCAGCGCATCCTGGCATGGATACAGGTGCCCACATAGGTCCATGGCTCTGCAAAGCATCAGGCTTTACTTCCAGCACTGTCAAAGCACAGGACATTTGGCAGCCCGTGCTTTAGGAACGGCGGATAGCAGGTAGGGCTGCAGAAAAGTAGGTCAAGCAGAGCAAAGCCGGAGCATCTGGTCACCCTGCAGGTTCTAGTTTGATCCAAACGCTCAGTTGCTCATGGAGACAAAGGTTCCAACAAATGATGCTCCAGAATTCAAATGACTGGTGGAGTCTACAAGTCCCATCTGTCAATTGGATTAAAGAAACTCCATTGGCATAAAGAGAGAAGTAATTGTCAGGACAGTTAAATCTGATACAGTCAAGTATCTGTCCAGTGGGGCAGTGCAGGACTGGAATTTCTATACCATCTGCCGGGTATTGTTTTCACTTCTAAACTGTGAGATGAGGGCGTGGCAGATTGCGACACCTTAGAAAGCTGTCTATCCGACACTTCAGCATACAATGCTTTCCCTCGGTCTGAACGTTCAGAATACAAGTAACAAATCCCCACCACAAGTCATTAGCAGGTTGCTTGAGTTATTGAAATAGTTTTGTTGCTCGGCAATAGTTGAAGGCTGCTGTTTATGTAGACTAGATGAGGGGTAGCTCAGTGGTTTGAGCATTGGCCTGCTAAACCCAGGGTTGTGAGTTCAATCCTTGAGGATTTCCCACTTAGGGATTTGGGGCAAAATCAGTACTTGGTCCTGCTAGTGAAGGCAGGGGGCTGGACTCAATGACCTTTCAGGGTCCCTTCCAGCTCTATGAGATAGGTACATCTCCATATATTAAAAGGGACACTACACGCACTTCTCAAACAACTTGCATATGAGTGGCCTTGCAGTGTAGATAGAATGTGGCATTGTGGAACTCGTATCCCATCTCAAATCCAAGTAGTCCTACTAAACCTCCCTCCCGGCTCTTGGCCTATTCATATGTATGAGCATAACATGAATACTTCAGGGGGAAATTACCTAGTCTTTAGCAATCTTTGCTTCTACCAAAGGCAGTGTGGTCGGTGCCTACAACATGGGATTGAGAGTCAGAAAATGTGGGATCTGTCACAGCAGCTCCACCATACATTTCCTGTGTGACCTTTCTCTACTTCAGGGGTAGGCAACCTATGGCACATGTGCTGAAGGTGGCACGCGAGCTGATTTTCAGTGGCACTCACACTGCCCGGCTACTGGCCACTGGTCCAGGGGGCTCTACATTTTAATTTAATTTTAAATGAAGCTTCTTAAACATTTTAAAAATCTTATTTACTTTACATACAACAATAGTTCAGTTCTATATTCTAGACTTATAGAAACATACCTTCTAAAACATTAAACTGTATTACTGGCACGCGAAACCTTAAATTAGAGTGAATAAATGAAGACTCAGCACACCACTTCTGAAAGGTTGCCGACCCCTGCTCTACTTCATTTCCTCATCTGTAAAATGGGGATAATGATGAAAAGTGCTGTATGATGGCAAGGTTTTATTGTTTACCTTGTAGTAGAAGTGGAATACCTGTCTGTGCTATTCTTGGCATTAGCTAGTGGTATCAGTCCCTCATTCCATATAAACTAGCCTCATACAGAAGAAAAGTGTAGTTGTGAGGCTGAGTCACAACTATTAAAAACTATCCTTCCCTGTTGTTCCTACAGTCTGTTGTAATAAGTCCTCATCTCTTCCCCCTAACATGTCTATTTCAGCAGCTGCAATTGCTGCTAGAACTGAGGGTTGGTTTGCCTATTGGCAGTGAAAGATCAGTAGGTGGCAATAGTTCTTTTCAAAACTAACTTGTTGCAGCTTTGAGGCACTTCTTTGGGAACTGTCTGCATAGGGAGTTGGTTTTGTTTTGCAGTTCTGTCTGTATTCTGGTATAGCCCAACTGAAGTAATGCATGGGGGAAGTTCATTGTTCAGGCTGCAGAGAGAGAGAGAGAGAGGTAGGGTGTGTGTGTGTGTGTGTGTGTGTGTGTGTGTGTGTGTGTGTGTGTGTGTGTGTGTGTGTGTGTGTGTGTGTGTGTGTGTGTGTGTGTGTGTGTGTGTGTGTGTGT